AGAATTGAAACTTAGAGAAAGATATTCCAGATATTTCTTTTCATTTATTCATGCGACTTCGGAAAGGCACTTAATGGTAATGGGATAATGCAGTAATACGTTGAGAGTTTGTTTATTGAAGTGATTGGAAACAAAAGTCTTTCCTCTTAATGGGTCCGGTTTCGCTTTTCGGTTCGAATTTAAAAAGAAAGCGAAACACAATTGTTTAAAAAAAGCTTACACCCGCTCTCTGTAGTCTCACATAGAATAATTCTTAGATATGTAAATAAAATACCTAGCGAGTTTATTAAAGAACTTTTGAAAAATGCTCTCATATTGATTAATGGAAAGAAGCATATTACACATAAATATGTTTTTTTACTTCAATGTCTTATTGTCTCATTTGAAACACCCGCAGGGTTGCTGAAGCATTCCCACCTTTTAATAAAGTTAATTCCGGCCTCACTCTATCCTCTCACGAATACCTCACTCACCATACGGAACGCGGTCTGAAGTTAATCACTAACTAACAATCACTAACCATAACTAACTTCACAACGGTCTTCTGTGAGGTCGTGGTACTTAACCGGACAAACCTGCCCATTCATGTAACATTGAATAGCGCCCGTTCTGCGACATCGTGAGTGATTGAAGCCATCCAGCCGAAGTCCGCCGAAGCCACTCCGCCTAACGTCGAGGTATTAACTCCGTGAAGCGTCGAGCAGCCTAGGCCACCTTGTCCGGAACGTGTGCGCCGTACACGCCTCGCCGAGACCACGTGCCCCCGCGACAGCGAGACTACGTGTGCGACCTCGCACTGTGTCCCCCCTTTCCTTGGAAAGGGGCAGGCAGTGCGCGCGCTTGGAAGCGCGACGAATCCCGCCTTACACTGCGGCCTTGATACCTCTCCCCGCTCGCTGGGCGCTTCGCTGGGCCTCCCCTAGGGGTCTCACCCGGCTAAGTGGCCCGCGCTGAGGGGAGCAAGGTACATCGCTCGCCTGGGGATTGATCCCGCCCGCAACACGGGCCGTGACGGAGCCGCGAACGATGGAGGGCATATCGCCCCCCAAACCTCGCAGGAGAACGCGCACACCTGTTGCCATGGACCAACAGGACGTCGAGGAAGCTGAGCTCCCAAGACAGCTGTTGCGCCCACAGCCACAGCGCTACCAAGTAGCCGAAGATTATCTATCGACCAGCGAAGAAGAATACCGCAGGAGCGCCGCAAGCGTCTCAGAGGTGGCGGAAGTCAAGGCCGACGGTGGTGCGTCTAAGTACGTATCCACCCCGGCCAAGACGTACCACCCCAGGAAGACCCGCAGGCGACATACGCCGCCCGAAACCGACGCATCGTTATTGAAAAAAACGGCAATGCGTCGAAGAGATGGACACCGCAACTGCAAGACAACCATTATGAAAGCGACACAGGAGCACCAACACTACGCGATACTCGCAACCGCCAAGATCGCCCTCGTACGATTCAGTACAAGCGCCATCCGAGCGCATGGAAACAGTACGAGAAAATACATCTTATGCAACCATTACAAAATCGCCTGTGCAACCAACACCGTCGACATCTGCTCAGACGGAGGAGCAAGCACCTGCAGCTCCCGAGGAAGATACCACAAAAAAGGGATATCCACCAATTATCGTCGAAAAACTGCCCGATTGGGCTCACCATTTTTTGGCGCTTAGAAAACAAGCTCGGACACGCGCCGAACGCGCGTGCCTTCGGGAATGGCATCCGCTTTTTACCCCAATCGGGGCACGAATACCGAGTTGTCCAGCGACACTTAATCGCAGCCACCAACGATGATAGTAGCATAACTTGGTACTGTTATGCTCCGGCCAGACACCTCCCCACAAAAGTGGGCATTCGCGGATTGCCTGAAACGACTCACCCGGAGAGCATAACTAATGCGTTACGCTACCTAGGGTTTCCGGCGACCTACACTAAATTGATACCTCCAGTACGAAACCGAAGCCGATGCATATTTTTCGTGCAGCTCGACCGCCTCAACGATAGAGAGGCAGCTCGACTGTATGATATTAACGAGCTCCTCAACATGCCGGGCATCCAAATTGAGGGGTGGAAGGGAAGAACAGGCCCACCTCAGTGCCATAGGTGCCAAAAATTCGGGCACTCATCGGCAAATTGCCACCGACCGGTTGTCTGTGTTCGCTGCGCAGACAACCACATCGCAGCCAATTGTCCAGTGCCGCTATCCACCCCCGCACGTTGTGCTAACTGCGGGCAAAGGCATCCAGCCAACGATAGGCGCTGTCCCGCGTTTCTAAGAGAGGCAAGAAAACGCGGGATAGCAATCCATCCGCCGCGGCCGACTACAAGTAACGAGAGAACGGGATGGACGACCGTCCGACGAAACACAGAGAGAGCCGAAGCGGGGGGACAGCTCCCCCCACCTCAGACTTCCCCCCTCAGCCTAACGAAGGCGAGAGCACAGTAGCAACCGCACTACAAACCCCTACCGCGGTGCGAACCACTGCGGGGGACATATATAGACAGCCTACCGAGGGCGCGCGCCCGCATTCCACAGTCGTCGCCGGCGCCGCCTCCACTGCAGCCACCCTACCAAGACCGACTACAACAGTCACTACTCTTCAACCACCAGCCAACCCTGCTACTAGTAGAGTAAGAAGCCATCGTCGAAGACGCCGCGGACGTGATGCACCCGCGGCCGCATCGCAAGACGAAAGACCGTCAACATACACCACCCGCGAACAAGAACGAGAACAAGCCACCAATACGGAGACGGAGACGGCGTTACCTCACCGCCCCCCCCCCCCCCCCCCAACAAAGAAGCCGTCAAACAAACGCCGAACAAAGGTCGGAGACAGCGCCTAGTCGTCGCCCTCTTCGCCTCAAGAAAGCCGCCAAAACAATGAAGCCCCTAGAACTGTGGAAGAATTCACAGAATCACTCCAGCAATTGATCCGCATACTGGCGGACGCACTTACAACCATTATAGCCGCAATGGCATCGGGGCAATCACCGATAAGCGCAACCCTACACACGCTGTCCATGCTACTCACCGAGCATCACGGCGCATAGCAAAACAGTAACAGTAATTACCTCTAAACAGTGTTGCGCCATTTTTATGGCGACATAACAACACATACCATCTGGCCATTTTGGCCCAAAATACCGGGGGCACAGAGAGGCCCCAGAGAAGAAGCCCGGGTCATGAGAAATATCTCGACACCCGCACCTGCCGGCCTTTCAAGGCCGAGTAGAAGACCCGTGTGTGTGTGTGTGTGTAACATTGAATATGTTGCGTTACCTTACCACAGTACTTATTTTTGCATAGGACCAAATTAATATGTCCTTAGTGCATTCGTAGAATTTTAATTGCATTTTCTTAGTAGTAATTTAATTTAAATTATAAGAGTTAATTACAATTTCATTTGTTGTAAATATTTCGTGTTTCATTGGAAAATAGATATTTGTTGAGTCAATCCAAAATTCAATGAACTTGTCTCATTTATATGAATTTCTCCACTAAATTTATAAAGTAATTATTTATTTTATAAAATAATTTTTTTATTTATAAAATAAAAATGTATTTGTCTTCATCATAAAGAAAAAAAATGTGAATAACATACTTAAAAAAACATCGCTTAACATATATATATGATTTATTTTCATACAGGTTTATTACATGGAAAATATGCGATTTGAGGTCTGTTAAACTTCCGCAGTTTAACTATGCTTTTGTGTCGTGCTTGTAAATTACAAACTAATTCTAAGTTTTTCTATCAATATTAATTCACAACAATGTTATTTACATATGTAAATACGGTAATTGATTTAAAATAAAATATATCTGTATATATAAATAACAATTTACATATATTATTTATTTATTTACAAAACTTCTTATATAACACTAGTTGTTATAACGCTGTTTCTTGTATTGACATCTATTAAAACGGCAATTATAATGTAACAGGTAATACAAAATCAAGTGTTAAAATGATTTAATTCTTAACAGCACAATAATCCACGAATACACACACCACTGATTACTACTAATTTAATTTTAGTTCAAATCTATTGTTTATTGTCCAATAGTTTACCGGTAATAATTTTAGTTGATGTTTACAATTACTTTGGAGTTTGTGTAGAACTATCCACTATCAACTCTACAAAGAAATGTATCCGCCCATCAAGGCACTCTTTCAAAAAGTCTAACCACAAAGTCTGACCCAATTGCGGGCAACTCAGTATGCAATCTTAAACGTTCTAATGACAACTGTACATCTTACATTGCTTCCAATTGTGTGACTTTACATGTTACTCTGAAACGTAATTTTGCATGTAAGGATAGGCTATATCAGCTATATTTATAAAAATTCATTAAATGTACGAGTTAAATTAATTTGTAAGGTATAATGTGTAAATGAACAAGTTTTAAAGTTTCCATGATTCGCTTTGAAGCTTCGAATAAATATTCAAGTTAACAACAAGACCATTGAAACTATTCTATCTAACTTTTTTCATTCATTCGAACTGTACGAATTGAATTTCCTTATAATTTCTATATATTTGGTAAACATTGATGTGTTATATAGTTAAATCTTTGAAGTGGTGCTAACATAAACTAGGTCTAGAAGAGTCTGTTATAAACTCACGATTATCGACTAGAAATCATTGTTATTTTTTATTGCGCCATATTTAACAAAACATACACAATAACGCTAATTATCACATACATATACGTTGATTACAATAAAATTGTAACAATAACAAAATTATCATCGTCCACGGTGCTCTTTCGAGATCAGACGTTAAAAAGGTCAATATTCAATCACAATAGCACTTAAACATCATCCAGATTTGGCGCGAACGGAACGCGGCGTCAGAGCGAGTGTAAACTGGCGTCCGTGTCGCTCTCTACACCGCCGAGGAGGAGGCTCGACTCGCAGGCGACCGAATCCCGGCGATCGGTAGAGTCCGCACACTTCGCGGAGTGCAAGCAATTGGCCGGCGGCAATAGTCACAGCTCTATCGGTGCCGAGCCCTTCCACGTCACTCCAGCCCGCAGTAGATGGTACAGCCGCAGCACGCACCAAATGCAGAGGCACTGAAAGTTTGCGGCTATCAATCGTTGAATAAGATCGTTTCTAAACTTTTTCCCTACTCGTTGATAAGATGAACTTGTTGTAGGGACGTCGAACAAATAAAAACGCCAACAATCGGAATCGAATCCTCAGAGGCGACAATCACCTCTTTTTTTGTTCTTCACCGATTATCTTAAATTAATTATAATTAAAGAACTATAGTTAGGTCATGATTAATTAAATAAATATTTCTTAATACTTGATTTCAGACAGTCTTTTAGAAATATATGATATGTACTTGAAGCGTAATATGGACAACGAAAAGCTATTACTTACATTTAAAAGGATCCTAGGTATTAAAAACGATATCTCTGCTTTACACATGGCGTCGAATTGCTGAAACAAAGTGATATGTAAATTTTATTGTGGTCAATGCAGTGTTCAGTATAGATTACGCATGCCGGTAATGATTGTTTTACAACCTTTGAAAAGTTATAGCGGGCTGAGCTCTTGATTTTCGTGTCACCGAGCTCTTTATTTAATTAAGGATTTCAATTGTATTTAAAAAATTAATCATAATATGTATAAACTATATCAAGGAATTGAACTTTTTCCCGTGTTATAGAAATATGTGATTAATTTCAAAATTTTTTTTGGGAATAACTGTATTAAAAATAAGTTCAGTTTTTCGCTTTAAGAAAATTTAAGTATATTTTTAATTGAATTTTTTTTCATTGATTTGAAAAAAAGAGAAGTATGTGATATTGATCAATGGGTAATAATAAAAATTGTACAATCATAATTAAATCACTTAAAAATGTACCCACCCTACAGAATCACCTTACTGAAAAGAACACATGAATTAATTAAAATCTTAAATTACTATTCCAAAAAAGAACGAACTGTAGAATATTCAAATCCTTTGGTAATTAGATACTTGGATCCATTCCAAATTGTTGCATACAACAGAATCGTACATGTGTCGGAATGCTTTGTTACGTCGTACGTTGTTGATTGAAGGAGAGCACGACAGTCGAGAGCTGTTAGTTTAGCTTTTGCGAATGTTATTGCTATTACGATCCATGAATTAGCGATACCAATGTATAGTTAATTTTAGTTCGAAAACATACTCATGACCACTGTACATTATTTCTTACATGCTGGTAATATTATATGCTTACGAGTAGAAACGAAATAGTCATATAAGTAAAATCTCAATGAGGCTATTATTGTAAGTTAAATTTTTCCGCAAAACCTATTTAAGCGTTTAAAAACTAAGAAGTTTAGAAACAATAAAGGCGTTAACATTATCACTTTAGAACGTACCAGCCAGAAGCGTAAGATGTTAAATCTCCAAAAATATTGTCATGACAAAAGTTCTTTCGTATTTTAAAAGTGTAGGTACGGTATGTTCCGCTGCTGGGCAAAGGCCTCCCTGCACAGAGGGTATAAGGTATGGTTCCACCACGTGATCCCACTGCGGATTGGCAAACTACACATACCTTCGAGAATTTTTTTTTGTTATTATTTTGTAAATACACAGGTTTCCTCGCCATGTTTTATTTTTATCGCTAAGCACGTGAGCACTTAAAATGGTTATTAACATCCACCGGCATCAGGATTTGAACTCGGGTTTCTCGAGTATATTGAATTCCAAGCGAGCAAGCAAGACACTTGACAATGTGTAACACTTTTTTTTGGACGCCTCGTACCCTTGAGTTTAGAGTGGCTTATATTAGCGATCCATAGTAGAAAATATAGCGACATCTGTTGTGAACAATACAATTTAGTTGAATGAAACCTTAGAAAATCTATATTTCAGTTATTATAGATGGCGCTAAGTCACCTTGTTGTTTTGCCTTAGTTTATTTTTAAGGAGTTCTAAGTAGGAGCATGTAGGAGAGGAATATGTGGCATCTTGGGCCACATCCGTTGACATCCTACTTGTATATGGCTTCTTGGCCTTTATATTTAATATAAAAAACCCACATCGTTGGGTTTTTTTTAATCTTATTCCTATTATTATTCTGTTTTATCGCTGAGCTGCTTCTCTCTGATGGCTTGATATCGAACCACGCGTTCGCCTTGTATGCAACTGCATATATATTAAGAATCTGAGGTCCTGCTGTCCACGTGCAACTTGAAGCCGCGGACTAGGTGAATGCCCCTCGGTGGCATGTGAGGATTGCTGGGCTGAGGTCTTCACACTTATTTGGAAACTAGGAAGGCAAGCCTGGTTCCTTCTGGTATGTTTTTGCTCTAATCTATATCTAGCCATTAAACTGATGATTGTGTTTATATACTGCTATGTAACGGTGATTAATCTAATGTACTCCCAAATCTTAATATTTATGCCTGATTGGTGAGATCTCACTCCTTCTATATTTTTAATTTGATATAGTTTAGTTTTATATTCAATCCTTGTATCAATAAACTCTAAAACTGTTAAGGAATGTATCTTTTATTTCCACTAAGTAAATCCCTTAGAATAAGCATTATTCTGTCTTTCACGGGGCGGGCTGGCGCCTATTTAAAATAAATTCTGTCCGTCCCCGTGACTGGGTCACCGAGCCTCGCCCTGTGGTCTTGATCGGTCCGATTGAGTCAGCCGGAGCGAACCCCTACACCGATCTCCCACTGGTGGAGTCAGGTGTGGATGTTTCAATTGAGCGATCACGGATCTATATCTCATGTGTTTTATTAACAGATAATAATATGCTATTGTATGCACGTGAAAGAATGAGTAGTATACACTACCTTGTTGACGTGATCTCGTAGAATATTGGAGTACACCATAGCCATAGCCTCCAATGCCATAAACGTCATGCATCCCACAACCCACGGCACTAAAAATGCAACATTTTCCTAAAAGAAAACGTAAACAGATTATAATTAAGCTCGTATGAAAAACTAACACATGAAAAATAGTTCAAAAGCTGTATGACATCAAATGGAACTTTGTAAAGAAACAATGAAACATTGCCAGCACAGAGACAGGCCGCAACCGCCAACTAATCCCACTCACCCTGTTGAAGGATCTCCGATGGATCCGGTACGGACATCGATTAAGCGTGAGTTCAGTCGTCTTTATTTTTTATGTATATTTAATTTGAATCAAGCGAAATATTTCAGAACGTATGGAATACTTATAAAACGAATACTTACTTTGTAAATTCCATAAAAGAGGAAAATACTCAATAATATCATAAACATTTGTGTTCCTATTATTGCGAAATATGCTATCTGTACACCTGGAACAAGAGTGAAATATCAAGCTATAGCATATAGAAGAAAGGAAAACTGCCTAAGGATAAGCATGTTCGATTTTCGAACTTCACATAACAGGAAGACCAAACAAACATCGAATCCCACGCGTGTACTAATCCGATATCCGTCGGTATGTCAACGTGCAGAAATCGTCTTTCATTTATAGCCGGGATTAATAAGAAAGAATAATATTGTACAAAATTATTATTATGTAATATATTTCTTATAATTATCACGACCCACTGTGTATACAATGTCTTTGGAGTATCGAACAATAATGGGAAAGATCGGCTTCTAATATATAATAAATATTAATCATTGCATTAAATTAGTTTTTGTAATACTTATATTTAATTATAAATATGAATATTATTGTAATAAATCTTAATAATATTAGTACTAGATAGATATTACGGTAATTATAGCTTTTATAAATTATCTATTTATAATACTTATCTGGTATTTACATCATTGCATTATTCTTCCGGATTGCTACGGAATGTTTTGTGTAGTAGACAAAAGTATGCTACGAAATAAATACAAAATTGTCACGTGTTCTAATCAGATAACACACACAGCTATCTAGAGCTGTTCTCTTCTCACTGAGTTAATTATTTTCAACCAAGGTTTAGCGAAGTATCCTCCACCAAAAAAAAAAGGAAATATTTAGTGCACATGAATGGGTTTTAAACCCCCGACAGTATAAAAATCGACATCATCTGTGATAACTCTATTCAAACAAAAAGTCATTAACGTTCCCAATTGTATTCACTTCTTTTAATTTTGTCGAGAGAGTACTTGAGTGAAATGTAGATGTCAAGGAGTTTGTGGCATTTGTGTGCTTTCCGGGCGACACAATTATTATTCTCGGTAGCGGTTTGATTGACGGGCAACAACACTCATTGCTCACTTAATTTTCTTCTCCCAAAATTACATTGGTTAAGTTTTCATGTTTATTTCCTATTCCGGTTTTCTATATTTTACACCGCATCTTTTCAGTGATTGTTTATGTAAACAGTTTACTTAGGTACTTAATTTTATCATTTCAAAAATAATGAGATCCGTAATAGACCGCGTAGTATAAGTACATCTATTATGGGACAATGTATATTTGTACCTCATACCAGGCATACCGGGCATACCAGGCATACCAGAGGCATCATACATGGAGTAAATCCACATTTTTCAAAATTATACATAATTATAGTATTATTGATTATTTAAATGATAACACACCCTGGAAATGAAATTATCACCCGAGGCTCTTTAAATGAACTATGACTCTTTAAGTGAACATTATTATTCGTCAAAAAATTGGTAAAAAAAAATTTCGCCGAGTTACTTTCGCCTGTTCTTCTTAGGGTAGTGGCTTTTCTTTTCCGAACCGGTAGTAGTATTTTAACAGTCAAGGATTAAACGAAATGCCTCTTATAGGTCGTATCCGAATTACCGTTGGTGGCAACTGATTTTAAAACTTGGTTGTGTGTGGCAGAAAATTAATAAAAACGCATAATGGTGTACTGCCAACCATCAAAGTGGTTGCGATTGTATTTGACAGTTTGACGCGTCATACGGTCCTTCCCTCTTTTTTTTAAGGCCTTGTGTCTTTTTAGGGTTTAATTTGGAGTAAATTAAGTAATATCTATACGAAAATTTCGTTATAGGCTTTGCTAAGATTAATTTTCTTATGTGTAGGATATAATTATTAAATACTCCAATTTATTAAATAAATAAAGATGTTTAATTAATAAATATTTACATTTTCAATCGTAAATTTTTGTACATAAATGAACGAAACGTTTCTCGGAATTAGAACCTGCATCTTCTAGGCGCGAAACTAGAAGACGCAGGCTCGAATCCCGCAAAAATTATATACTAAAATTTAAAGTCACATCTTGAGTGCAGTGACTAGCACTAAAAATAAAAATTAATCCTAAGATTTTTAGATTATCATAGCCGTATTTTTTTATTTGTAACTAGTGGGATAAGGGAATGTATGTTGCTGTTCGCAAGTTGTTTGTGATATATAGGTTTTGAGCATGGCAAGCTAAAGTCATGTTAATACTCCAGCTTAATTTTTAGACAGCATTTTAGAAAAAGTTTATGTTAAAATATTAATTATTTTATAATTAAGATTTTTTTCATTATTTATATCGATAATAGACTTTCTTATTATATGAATCTCTTATTTCTTACATAAAATGACAATAATTTAATCAAGTGCGAGTTGGACACAGCACTTTCTTTATTGATATGATTTAACTCGCGCCTTGAGTCTTGTGATGCATGGGTTTTTGGTGTTTGTTTTTGGTTACTATATAGTAGATGGAGTGTTATGAAATAAATTATTTTACTATTTATAGGTTTACTGCTAGTTGTAAACAATTATAATAAAAACATGAAATATATTCGAAATATGGTGGCGTATATAATAAATTAAAGAACGTACTATACTATTACGTGTATGAGAAATGAAATTACCATAGTACACATCATCCAGTTCTTTGTACCTTTTCGCGTTTACACCAATTCTCCAACTGTACAGAAGCACCACTAGTATTGATATATTCTGAAATAAAACAAGACAATGTAACAATATAACAAAAACCGCTGTTTTACAACACATCGTAATTTTTTTTTGTTTTATGACATCATTTAATAAAGTGGGCCCCGGCTAACCCACTCACCAGACGAAACGGAGAAGTATAACACTTCCACTTCACGCCGGTCTTCTGTGAGGTCGTGGTACTTACCCACCATCTGATCACCACGGATCTGCCAAATGGGCAGATCCGTGGTGATCCGTGGTTCAACAGCGAAAACTATTGCGTGGCCCTACCACAGTTACGCGTCGTAATAACATTTAAACAAATGCAAGCGGAGCCCGTGGGAGTCATATAAAGTCACATACTTATCACATGATGCTCCCCCACGGGCTCTTCTATCATAACTGTTAAGTGATTATTTTTCTTTTTAATCAAATGCCTCAATGTAAGTTTAAATTTGAATACACTAGCACTATTAACAATAGTATTGATGTCATGGATAAAATAAATCGTATCAAAGATCAGACCCCAAGATGAAATGAAATAATTACTTTATTTATAGTGATGTTTTTGTTTTCAGTCCGTAGACTTTTAAAGCTTCATCGAATGCAGAACATATAAGGTAACTAAATCGCACGAGCTTTATATGTACATAACAGTTGCTTTCCTGTAGAAATATACTCTAATAGACCGACAGTAAATTAAAACAGTATGTGCAAAGCTCACCTAAAATCTTGATATTTTCATTTAAATTATATATCAACCACCATTTTTTGATATCAAATTTCATAAAAAAAGTGATCTGGGCCATTCGATTCTATGTGATTTGATATAAAAAAATAACTGTCGAAACAAATTTACACGAAACGCTGTGGTAAAGAGAGCTGACATATTTTAAGTGCACTGGTATGTGAGTGCACTTACTTGAATAGTACATCAAAAGGCTGGAACGCTATATTGTGGTAAAAATGACGAATATTATGTATGCTTATCTGTAATACTTAATAAAAAAAACTTTTATTCTTGAAGAAAAACAAGATGTCGCGTACTTTTCTGCAAACGGGGTAGGCAGAAATAGCTATGTTTCGTTGTTCATTTTATTATTTGGGCACAAACGTAACAGGCAATGGTAAACCCTGTTAGGTGTAAAAAAAAAAGGAAAATTAAGAAGCGCTTAACTACTTTTTAAGCATCAGCCACTACAACATGGACACAAAAATTCCCGGAAAGCAGAAGTCATCATTTCCAATGATTACTATATAATGATTACTATATAAAACAAAGTAGCGGGAAAATAATTTTTTTAAAATTTAGTAGTTTTAATAGATTTTCTGTTTAAATTTACTTGCTGATAAGTTGTGTAAATATGGGAAAACAAAAATAATGGAAAACTTATAAACACACATACATGCATCTGGATGTTTGTCCGCGTGAAATTTATGTTTGTAAAACGTCCTTACAACACAGGATAATGTTATCATAAAGTAAGGGCAATGTTTAAAAAAACCATATAATACTTAGAAAATGATAATTCATTTTCTAAGTATTATATGTAAGACTTATCAGAATGTGATTCATGTCAAATTTTAGGAGAGACATGCAAACAAGCATGATCTCCCGTTACCTCACTCTTTAGACAAAACGCAAAAGCACGAATACTCCATCTGTACACAACTGTTTAAACATCATTATCTAAATAAAACTGTCGATTTCAGGCATAGTGTAACAAAGTGTAGTTTCGTTAATTAATAAAAAAAAACTCGTTTAAATAAAATTGATTATTCTGTGTATAGGCAATCAAGAAAGGTTGTGAATACTCATTTATCATTATGAAATGATGAATGAGTATTGGTTCAGTTCGTTATTGGCATTAGTGATGCCTTTAAATTGACACGTACTCGACGTGAACGTTCGTAGAAACATCACTTTCACACAAATAAATACATCGGCAATGCATTTTAAGAAATCTGTAGTTAATTAATTGCTACCTTTCAATAGTCAATGACAGACTGATAACAAATAGTAAAGGAAATAATAACATTAATATTTTTGGCCAAACATTTTGCAATCACTAAAAATTATTGAACATATGTAAAAAAATCAATGAATTGGTATTTTAACATTTAAAAACGATTCATTTTGTGCAACATTGTAGCTTAGCGATGTCTGGTTTCTTACGTAATTAGTAGATCCTGTACTCAGCTATATAATTATTGTAAAAGGAGTTCCAAAGGTGTGAAAAAAGAATAAATCCGAAAAGTCGAGTCCCGCAAATGTTTTGGCGATTCTAAGGCGAATTTTCCATTCAGGTTCAGCTCATTTATACAGTTTTAAAATTGTTTTGTATAATGGTTTAACGACAATGCCGCATAATTGGTAATTATTATCAAGAGTAGAGTCGGTTAATTAACCCCATTGGTTTAATTGTAACTGACACCAAAACGATTTGTAAACTTACACTTCTAGAAAATTCCTATCCCATTTTTATATCAGTCTAGGTTAACATTATCACCCACCGCAAACGGAAACGCTTGGTTATATGTGGATTAACTTCTGCTCTCGCTGCTTATCCTATTTCGGTGAGTAATTCTTGCATTGCTATTATAAAACAATTAACAAGCCTACCACAAGTATAAATGTATAAATCTGTTAGTGCTAGTACATTAGTATTCAGTTCCCTAACTAGAACTCCGAAATTCTGACGTCAATTGACATCTCTGCCTCTAGTGGTATGCAGAACGTGGCTACAAAGTTCACATTGAAGTTTGAAATTTGCAACTGTACCGTAAGTGCATTCTCCTGAATACACTTTACTTTTAATTACACAAAAGCTGCGAACAGCAGAACTTTTACTTTGTGCCTTTGTTTCCCTATCTACTGAAAGAAAAACCCCGTATCCGATAAAAACTAAAGTTAACTACAATAAGTGACCATAAACACATTAAAAAAGGAGGGAAAATAATTGTAAATTGACAAACTACCTGTGATTGGAGACATGGATGAAATGTACTGTAATTTAATATTAGAATTAAATACTGACATATATTTTATAATTTATCAGAATATCAATAAAAATTTAGACCTCATAACGTGTTAATTGGCCTGTCCATGCTGATGAAGCCAAAAAAATTTATAGTATCGCTTTTAATACATTATAAGCTCTATCCAATCTATCAGTTACGATTATGAATTCTTTAGGCCTTTGTGCCAATTCTTCAAGCTATTTTCATCACACTATAAAATTATGCATTATTATGATAATTTCGTATTCTGTAATAACACTTATATTTAATACTACATAGATAAAAAATATTTAATGTTTTATTGCTTCAAGTAGCACAAGTGGTACAAGTAACTCTTATTCATGAAGATATTATGTTTCGGTATAGGTACTGATTACTCTCAAGATGAACAATGTTGTTATAGACCTCTGTAATAATAAACGACCCAATTACCAGCAATTAGGCACTCCAGTTTAGTCCTTAGGGATGTCAACGCCAATATATTTTGTTTCTTTATCATGAGTTTGACGGAGTTTAGGTTGCGGTAGGAAATCAGCATACATTTCTCAATATAATATCATTCTAACGAATGTTTCTTTCAAAGTTCAATTCACAAATAATTCAAACCCTTGCGGGGATATATATAATATTTTTTTTTAAATTAAATTATTAACAATTAATCCAACTCTTTTTCACTCATTACTATATAAAATGTGTAAAATTGGTGTGCATGATTTGCATATTGATTACATGATAGAGTTTCAGCCAATAGAATTTATCATTTATCATTTACAAATATATATTAGCATGAATGCACATGTACACAGTAGTATATAATGTAATATACATTATATTGTTTTCCTTATGTTATTAAGAATTTATATATTTGAGGTAGGTATATATTATATTTTAAAATTTTACCTACTTCTTGTTACTTGATTCATTACGATTTTTCTCATTATTTCTAAGACCATATAACAATATTTTTCTTTAACGATATTCCTCGCGTTGAACCATTCTATAAAAAATGTAAAATTCAATATGTTTTAAATTACATTTATTTAAATATTTATGAATTGTTTTATACTTAAACATTTGTAATATTCTTGAACTTTTCGCATAAAATCAAATAAAATAATTCCTATAAACCACGACCTAGCACAATGTCAGAGCATTTATGTTAAAATGTCCGAAATAATTGGATAATATATTAGGAATGTTGGTAATAAATATTGTTTTGAGTTAAAACAAATATAATTATTTACATAATATCGAATAATTATTTATATAATATCGAATATTGAGTATCGTATATAAACATTACTATTTATCTTTAAAGCTTACCAGTGTATAGAGAGCACTTGCATATGCAGCATGTTTCACATGTAACGATCGACAGCATGATAAGGAAGGATCTTGTTCGTGTGCCGTCCACGCTTTCATCTAATGAATATAAAAAGACTTTCTTGGAAAAGTGGAAAAAATATTAGCGCTACTGCGATACATTTTTTCCAATAAAACAATTGAATAATGATACTCAGATTTTGATTATCATCATCCTTATTTCAGTATGTTTTAATCCCTTGCTAAACATAGCATAAAACGTAATATTATTATTGAATAATTATTTATAGATTTATCACAAATCATAGTGCATAATTATTACAAGAAGATGTGTACTCTACTAGGAGTAATGAATAAGTTCTCTTTTTTAAAACATTTTTCCAATGCAATTAGGCAACTAATACTTATTTAAAAAAGTGTAAATCACATAATAACCGAAAAGCCTACTTCAATTTAATATGACGTTGAAAAAAATATACCTTATTTCATACAGTTTTCACGCTGTCCGTTTACTTAAGAAGCGTCTCGTCGACACATAGCATTTGTTTACTTTCGATATCGCAATATCCGCTGCGACAGTGGAACGTTAGCCTCCGAGCGGAGTCGCGCGCTTACTGACTGACAAAGCCTTTTAATAACAATACCGCGGCGCGCTAACGACTTCGCATCAAGTGCACTACTTATATGAAACGTAGAGCATTCCATTCGAGTGTGAGAGTTTTGTTTTTTACATTGGCCAGCCAGCCACTTTACAAATGTCTATGGATGAAATTTGGCCGTTCATAATAAGGCGAAAGCTACATATTTACGTACGTAATTATTAAGTCATCAAGTTTTGTTTATAGAGAATTTCTCAACCATTTTTTTGTAATCATAAGCAAAGTTATCGATGCATTTGATTAATTCGATAATATAATTAAATAAAATGTATATTACGGTATTAGAGTACAATTATTACTTTGCGCTATATACATTGAAAAAAAAAATGTGATAACGGAAATAGATGTTATTTTCGCGACGTCAGGATACCTAAAGGCTGCTAACGCAGCGGTTGGAGCGTCGAGCTTTGAACATTTTTGACTATTTATGCACAAAAAAAAAAATTAAAAAAAACTGTTTGATAAATAACTAGCGACCCGCCCCGGCTTCGCACGGGGGCAATGCTGAATTATACATATAGACCTTCCTCTTGAATCACTCTATCTATTAAAGATAACCGCATCAAATTCCGTTGCGTAGTTTTAAAGATCTAAGCATATATAGGGACAGACAGCGTGACGACTTTGTTTTATACTTTATAGTGATTTATCAATAAATTACATATTTATCGTATTGGCTCAACATAAATAATTTATAATCAACTAGCTGACCCGACAGACGTTGTCCTGTCTTAACGATGATTATTTAATTCGAAATGGTATTATTAATAAAAAAAGTGTGTTTATTATTCTAATACTTTATGATGTACAATATTCTTGTCTTTTTTTTCTTATGTTTAAAACATGAAAACAATATCTGAAAGAAGTTAAATTAGAAATAATATTATATGTTTGTTAAGTATTCTTAAATATGTTTTCTGAAATTTTCTAATTCTCCGCGCAATTTTTTTAATTTTATATTTCATAAGAACCTTCTCCTGATAATAACAAACACTACAAAAAAAGTGAAATCGGTCCAGCCGTTCACGCGTGATGGCGTGACCAAGGGAAATAGGGATTCATTTTTATATATATAGATAATGTTAAAATAAAAAAAGCAATTACTAAATAAGTTTATTAAAAACACAAGTGTAAACTCTGCTTATAAAAAGCTATGACCAGCGTTCTCGACACTGTGTCCTATATACAGACACTCGAATATGTCAAATTTTACCCACGCCTAGGTGACAAAACCCCTTAGATTAATTAATAGATGACACTCTTTGGTGATTTAATTGAAATTAACCGTTCTATTAAAGCAGGCAATTTCGCCTGTAAGAAAATTATTGCCAAAACTGAGGTCAATTTTATAAGTCTGTAAACACTGGTCTTAGGAAACAAATTAATATAGTCTTGAAGGGTATGGCAGAATTTATCTCTTTCCATTTTAGCTTTTAAGTTTTTTTAAGTACACCATCCACGCAAGAATATTACAATCTTTTTTCATGAATATAAAAATTGGGGGCCCATTTATAGGGTTTAGCACCCAAATTGTAAAACGAGATCAATAGGGTCTGGTTTTACCATTTGGGTGCTAAAGCCACTAAGACTCCGCTGTCTGTTTGTCTGTTACCAGGCTGTATCTCATGAGCCGTGATAGTTAAACAGTTGAAATTTTTACAGATGATGAATTTCTGTTGATGATGTATGTCTGTGCTAAAATACAGAATAAAGACATTTTTGTGGGGCTCCCATACAAAAGACATGATTTTTTGCCGTTGTTAGCGTTTGTGGACTAACAGATGACCTTTGACTCGAGACATGGGCAGTGCTGCAGTCCCTCCAAAGATACCGGTTTATCGAAGTGTAGAATTGTTTATACAATAGCGCCACTATGTCAGTCCGAGTAAAGGAACAGAGCACGATGGCGATTCTGTAGCGGAGAGGTGTGAGAATCTCCGAAGCTTTTCACCGATGCAATGGAAGATGCCTTCAAACTCCTGGAATGGAAAGTACTCGGCATTAACATCAATGGCGAACTTATAACTCATCTTCGATTTGCCGACGACATTGTGGTCATGGCAGAGACGATGGAGAAAGCCACAATCGGGTTTCACAAAAGGTGGGTCTAAAAATGAATCTGGATAAGACTAAAGTCATGTCCAATGCCCATGTAGTGCCCACCCCAGTGTTTGTGGAGAGCTCGGCCCTCGAAATTGTTGACGAATATGTATATCTAGGACAAGTTGTCTAGATAGGCAGGTCCAATACTCGACGGATCCAACTCGGTTGGGCAGCGTTAGAAAAGCTACGCAGCGTCTTAACGTTCAGATTACCACAGAGTCTGAAGACAACAGTGATGACCTACGGTACCGAGACGTGGTCTCGAACTATGGGCCTCCTAAAGAGACTCAGCGTCGCTCAGCGGGCAAGGGAGAGGCCTATGCTCGGGGTTTCTCTGCGAGATCGAATCAGGAATGAGGAGATCCGCAGACAAACGAAGGTTACCGACATAGCCAAGCGGGTCTGCAAGCTGAAGTGGCAATGGGCAGGGCACATAGCTCTGAGAAACTGACGGCCGATGGGGCAGCAAAGTTCTCGAGTGGAGACGGCTTGTTGGAAAACGCAGTGTAGGGCGGCCACCCGCGAGATGGTCTGACGACTTGTCCAAAGTCGCGGACTTCGCTGGATGCAGGCCGCTTCGATGGAAGTGGAAATCCCTAGAAGACGCCGATGTTCAGCAGTGGACGCTTACAGGCTGAAATGAACGGATCTTGATGCGTTTTTTTTTTACTAAATAGAGTGATTTAAGAGGAAGGTTTATATGTATAATACATTGCACCCGTGTGAAGTCGGGGCGGGTCACTAGTGCTAAATAACTCTGCGCTATACTAACAGTTACTTTGTGCGGTAACTTGAAAGCTAAATATCAAGTGCGCCCGCCGATAATGAGGTTCTTGTTCTCAAAATAAACACGAGAAGCGTAAAAATTCAATCATAATTGAGCTCACGATCAAAAGAATACAATCGAGAAGCATCTTGTAGACGAGTATGACAGTTAATTGAACATATTTTTTTTAAATATTTAAACATGCTTTTATTGATAACACGTTGAACGTAACTGAATGATTAACAGTCGAATAATAAATAAACTAAAAACGAAAAAGTCCATAAAACAATGCTGATAACATTTTTATTAGGTTTAATTTGTATGCATGTATGAATACTATAAATATAGGTGAGAGAATGTTATTCTATTCTTATTTCTTTTGCTAAACGATATGTTCATATTGTCACCGAAAACTTGTTTATTTAAAATAAATATTAATTTTAATTTTATAGACTTTTTTACCTAAAAACTTGGTAATTAATTCAAATTAAGATTGAAACGTAATAAATGTAAAGAGTCTTCACATTTTTTACAGGAATCGTTATGAATTTTCGAACATATATGATACGTTCTACTACGTCTTGAGAAAAAGCGAACAGTAAAAGTTTACTAGAGAAAGACGGTACGGAAATAATAACATTTACAATTCAGATGGCGGTCTGGTTTGTCCGCCATTTCATTATGGACCCAAGTTTAACCTGACAAAAAGAGGTCAAATGGAAATTGGGCTTCACACAATTTGTAGTTTGTCTTAAATCCATCTTAAGAATACTAAAACTTTAGCATTAAGATAATAAATAATCCTTCGCCTCTGAATTATTAAGCTTAACAGTTACAAACGATTACATTATGTAAGTATATCCTTTATCCTTTGAATATCTGAACAATCAAAGTCTAAAATTATTCTTAGTTACAAAAAAGGACATGATAGTTCACTATCCGGAGGATCGCTTTTTATTAAATATACTTGAGCAACCTAAGTTCAATGCCAATACACCAAGAAAGTGTTAAAAGTATTAGTTATAAGTATTTTAATTTTATCACGTACGCAGCGGTGAACGAAAACATTGTGAGGAAAATGCCTATTTTCGAAATAAGAACAAAAAAAATATTTCCAAAATATGTGAAGTCCGCCAATCCGCATTGGGGTCGGGGACTATGCCGAGCAGTGGTACATATATAGGCATTACTTTAGACATTACTTTACCAAAAAGGATAATAGGAAACAAAAAAGTATTATAGGAGATATAATAGATTTATCACCATAACAGTATCACAAGAAGTATGTTACATATTTTATAGTAAAGAGTTTTCAAAAATAATTATTGTAGTGGGCCTTAGTACAATAAAAATTCATTCAATTAAAATCATCCTTATAACATATAAGCGAGTTTAGGTTGAAACCTGTGTAATTTTTGTTAATACATAAAACAAAAAAATAAATCACATTTAACACTACAACGATACTTAATATTTATCTTCTAGTTAATTATGGCATGATACATAATACTGAAACTAGCGTAGCCACTAAAAAGCGACGGCGCGGTGTAACTTTTTCTAAAACGATAGCG